TATTTATTTATTTATTTATTTGTAAATATGTGCCAAGATTTGTAAAAATCATTTTTAGAATTTTAATTTTTTTCTTTTTTTTTTTGTTTGATTCGAGAGAAATCAAAATGGGAGGGGGAAGGGGGAGGGGAAAACTTGCGAAACAAAAAATTTTATTATTATTATTATTATTATTATTTAATATTATTTCTTTTCCGTTTTCGGATTTTCGTGGATTTTTTTTTTTTTAAATTGGCAAATCTATGAGATTTTCACTTGTTGGAAAACTATCAAAAATATTATATAATTGGAAACAAATTTAAATCAATCGATACCTGGTTCGCCATTTTTTTTTTTTTTTTTTAAATCAAAAAATGATTTGATAAAAAAGAAAGTAAAAAGAAATCGATTAAAAAAAAAAAAAAAAAAAAATCGTCTGCTTAAAAAAGCGAAATTAAAAATCATATTTTACGTTACAATAATTTTTCATTTTTGTTTATTATCATTATCATTATCATTATCATTATTATTATTAATAATTTTTTTACGTAAAAAAAATTCTCGAAATTTAAATAATAATAATAATAATAATAACATCGGAATCGAAAAGAAAAGGAATGAAATGAAAGTATAAACATAAATAATAATTGAAATTATTATTCGAAAGTGTGAACTTGTAGGGAGGCGTGGGGGGCGCGGGGGCGTGGGGGGGAAAAACACATGGAAAAGAAAATAATTAAAATGTTTATAAATCCATGGAATTTAATAAATCTTGCAATTTTCTTAAAAGAAAGTAAATAATGAAAAATCGGACGGGTAATGAAACAAATGAAAAATTTTTTGTACGTTACGACGTAACAAACATCGCCGTTTGTTGTTGTTCCCTTGCAAATCTTGTCGTCTTATACATTATTATCACACGTAAGAAAAAAAAGGATACAATGTTTGTTAATTTTAATGCTCGTGTGACGTAGGCTCCTACAAAAAAAAAAAAAAAATTAATTTGGTTTATTATTATTATTGTTATTATTATTTCCTTATATTGTCATTGTTTTTTTTTTTTTTTTTTTTATATTACGACTTTAATTTTCACGTTACTAATGTTTTTCTAATGTTTAAAATTATTACCAAGGTATAAAATGATGTGAATAACGCACACCCCCACCCCCCCACACAAACCCATAATTTGTTGAAATTTTTTTTTTTTTTCGTAATATTTAATTTTAAATTAAAACATTCCGACCCGATGAAACAAAACGAAAAAAAAAAAAAAAAAAAAAAAATTTGTTAC